AGGTGCGTTTCTATCAGTCTTCCTACCATTATGACCAAGTTGCGAAAACAAGGTCAAACAACTTCTATCGTTAGGCATGTTTTGCTCTGTTTATGTCCGTCACAAGATGGACGAAAGCTTAGCAAGTATTCATCAGGATCGCTAGGCGGTGCGCCAAGGACCTATTAGCACTATCACGGCTGCAGTCCTAATACAGCTTCAGATGAGGCCAACTTACAAATCCCTTCCATCCGCCTCTTCAAAGAAAATAAAAGGTACTCCAAAATCAATAAATCAAGGGAAGCTTCGAAATCCAGTTTTTCTACACAAAATACTCTTACCCAACATTTCCTGTACAATATACAAGATCATGACTTTTATGGAAAGCTTAAGCAAAAGATAATCTAACTCACAACGGAGAATGAAATTTATATTCAAAACTAGTTTTAATTCAGAAGCACTTAGTTCTTTCTGGATATTTATGCCAGCACTTTGTTCTCATCCTCAAATAGAAAATAGGTTACGATACATATGATCGGAAAGACAACCGGGGGAAGTCTAGATCGCTTTGAAATCCTCCAGGGGTCAAATTTTGGAAGAAGTAGTAAAGAATGTGGATGATCTGATGGAGGAAATCAATCAACGAATACATTCGATTACCGCTACCAAACGACAAAGGCACATTGGAATTTGAAACAAACATCGAGAAAATGCTAAAACTTCAACAAGTACTGCAACTACAATTAAATGAGTATTCCCTACCTCCAGGGCACGATTGCCTTCAAGATACCTTCGTGCAAGACCGATAATATGGCCCTGGGGACACAAAAATTTCGAATTTCGTGCACGTGGCTGAGCTCCCCATATAAAAAAATTTTTAAAAGCTATCATGATCAAAAACTAAGTGCACGACATATCTGTACTAGGTACCAAGATCTGTGATACGCTTTTAAGTAAACATCGTCCTTATGTCCCTTCCAAAATGCAGAAATCAGTTTCCCAAGCCGTACATGATTTGGCACATCCAGGCAAACAAGGGTAAAGAAAAATAATAACAAACCGCTTCGCCTAGCCGGAGATACAAGCAGGCAACAATAAATGAATAAAGGCTGCAAAGAATGACGAAGACACAAGGTACACTGAAAGATCAGAACCAAAATCGGCACTTAAATCGGTAAGAAAGGGGTTTAATCCTTTGCGCATGTAACTCTGCAGCACTCCAAAGCAAATCGGTATCCCCTCAGTAGGATCGTTCACGCGGTGGCCAAGGGCTATGCCCATTGAAGACATATAGGCAGAAACCGACGCCAAAGCCTTCGTTTCTCATTGGATACCACATCAGGTATGGCACCCTGATAACCATTACTACCGACAGAGATAGACAATTCGAATCAGAATTATTCATCCAACTGTCTCAAATATAGGGTCCAAAAGGATCCACATATGTGCATATAATCCACAAGCAAATGGTCTGATTGAACGCTTAAACTGTTAACTAAAGGCATGTTTACGGTATCAAAAAAATTCGTGTTTGGATGGACAATCCCTCATAAGCGCCACTTAGTTTGCAATCTATGATTAGGACATACACCGAAGGCAGTCCAGGAGATATGGTTTATGGATGTCAATTGTGCTTACCCAGGGGATTCGTAGCCTCTGGCAATGCTAGCCCTCACTCATTAGACAATATAAGGAATCTAGGCGAGACGATTAAAAAATAGCGTCCCATTCAAACTCAGATCAGTTAAGACTGCAATGCCAAAAGACCTTTCTGCATGTAAATACGTGTACGTTAGAGACAACAGCGCATTACCACCTATGACTCTACCTTACAACGCCCTTTCCGAATTATATCAAAATTTGATTAGCATAGACCGACACAAGCCTACAAACATTAATGAATCTTAATCCATCACAGATAACGGATCATCACCAAAGCTAATTTTAACGATGAAGTCAGAAATATCCTGTTATCCTATGGAGCTGAGAAGAGTGCATTTCGCTCCTGGAACCCAACCATACCACCACATTTTATCGAGACTATCCCTATTTAGTACATTATGCACTTAGCCGTGGCTCAATATATTTTAACACAAAAATCCCATGAGGGTAATGACTAATCATCATTTTTTACTTTACGCGGACCAATAAAAGCTTGGCACCACACCGTTCCTACCTTCTGAACCAACCAGGTGGCATGCAAAACTACAGAAGGATGTTTCAATCAGCAGGCATACTAGCCGCGCGACGGAGAGGTTTTCCCCAAACTCTTCGTTTCCACTTTGGTCTGGTGTTTTGAGGATCTGCCATTACGCACCGCGCTCAATAATTGACTACCTATTCACAACTCTACAATGTAATTCGGCTGGTTATAAATATGAGTCCTAGTGACACTACTTCTCCTCCCTTATTCATCCCAAGGAATACAAGTTCACATAACGAAGCCAAACACAAGCCTTAATCTTTGCTTTATTATCCATGTTTTATCCTCGCCCTGTAGCTCCGACCAAGTTGTGAAAATGCGGTCAAACAAAAACATAAGGCTAAGTTAACATTAACAGTTATTCGAATTTTATCGCAGCCATTCATGCTTCATACTAATTGCTTACATTGCAAGAGTAAAGAAACGATTGAACAGAAAATTAGTCAAGAAGTTAAATTACTTGTTAATCGAAGGTATGAAGACCAAGATAGTGTGGCCTTGTGTGTGGTCGCAGTCTCCTTTCGTTGATGAGAAGGCCTCCACTTGTTACTTCAATGAGTAATAACTCTGTGCCAATGATGGCGCCTTTCCCTAACGATGTCGACGAAAGTTCAAGAATGCACCAAATTAAGGATCCGATGCTGGAAATCACGAATACTGACAGAGGACACATCACTAGATACGTTCCTCAAGGTCTCCGTGATACTCCAACCAAATTGCGGAAACGAGGTTAAACCAACGCTATAAATATAAAGGAGACTGCGACTAAAGAGAAAGCCACACCATCTTGGTATTCACACTTACGATCTAATTATGGTTATAAGATTGCAAATAATGCACAGCTTTAGAATTTACAGGTGTGGGTCCACTCGTGGGAAGTGGGATAAGAAATTAAAGACCATGA